TATAAAACATATTATAATATTACATAAGGAATAATAATATTTCAGTTATAATATAATTAAAAATTACAACTATATTATATTACGAGTCTGAATATTAGATTGGGAATATTGTAAATTTTAAATTTTATAAGGGGTATTATGGGCATTATGAAAGTTTCATTAATTATACTATATTGATTCTCGCACCATCTCAAAGCTAAAGTTACCTTTTGAGCTACTTCTGATTTTGGCAGTAGATTCTTCAAAGAGAACTTTTGAGGAGATTTTTCAAACACTAAAAATCAGTTTTTGCTACAAGTAGAAGCTAATTTTGGGAGCAAAAAGCAATACCAAACGCAGCTTTTATCCACTAACCTTTCTAATCAAAGAGTTGCGCTACCATTGGAGTGTCATTGTTAGCTGGAGATCATCGGCAGGACAATTCTCATTGCTATGAAGAAAACAGGTCGGAGATCGCCGAGAAATCACAGAGGCGTGAGAAGAAATCTTAAGGCCCACCGTGTTTTCTTGCTTACATGCCCAGATCTCCTCACAACGGCATCGCAAGTTCAGAATCGTGAAGTGGATCTCCTTGCGAGGTTGGAACCGCGAAGTGCAACTCAGTATGACACGGGAATCGTGAACGAGAGCTCGTCAAGATGACATTTCGATTTTGAATGGTTCCATTCACACCTTTTTTTTTAGCCTCCACATCTCTTTTCTAAATATACACCCCATATAAATTTAAAAAGATTAAAATTATTTTTTACACACCCCATTATTCCAAGACTATCCCTAACTATCTTTATGATATAATTGATTTTTCACCATTTTATTTTTCTTTTCCGACTTACCGTTTTATTTTAATTTGTTACATTATTATTATTTTTTATCTCTGTACATATATCTTTTTGAAGTCTTAGGCTTGAAGCCTTTTTCATAAATAAAAAAAATCATAATGTAATAAAATAAAAGGACATAAATATGAGCATAACGGCAACATACTTATTATACCAGTTAAGGTGTTGATGAAAAAGGCAAAATGAAAAAATGAAAAAAAAAAAAAACGTTTTTTTTAAGAGAAGGAAACATGAAAAAGTAAAAAAAAGAACTTTATAAAACATAAAAAAAACAAAAAAACAAAATGAAATGATTAATCTTTTAAAGATGATTAGTTAGGATATAAAAAATAGACCTAAAAGGAAAAAAAATCGTCATACAACAAATAAAAAACAAATTAACAATATCTCCATGTAACTTTTTGAAATCGTTAGGTGAAAACTAAAGTTTTATTATAGATCTCAAAAATAATATAAGTTTGTAATTTAGGATATAATATGTGGGTGTGTTAAAAGGAAAAACTATATAATATAGTTAGTCTCTTTTTTATAATAAAATTTAATTGTAATTAATTTTATTATAATTGTCTTGTTTTTGTCATTTTATGTGATGATTTTTTCATCCTAAAGAGTTTTAATTTAAAAGGTGGTGTGAAGAGTAAAAATGACTATGCGAATAGAACCACTATTTTTATTATTATTTTTTAATTTTATGGCCTTATTTATTTCACAACTTAAGTCACAATTGAAGTTTCATTGTCGTAGTGTTTTATCTTATAAAAATTCAAATTTTACCTTTTGTTACAGTGTTTTATTCTTACACACACAACTAAAGTCATAACTCAAATTATAACTTGAGTTATAACTACAACTAAAGTCATAACTTACTTGAGTTATAACTTGAGATATGAAATAATTTTTAATTTTGAAACATTAGTTCCGAAAGAAAAATATGACTTTAGCTTCTCGCTCTTTGACATTTTTCTCTTATCTTTTCTCTCTCCTCTCTCTCTTTTTCTAACCCTCTCTCACTCTCCTAATCCCAGGTGACCATTAAATTGGAGTCCCACTATTGAGTTCACAACACAAGTATTAACCGATATACGGTGTGAACTTATGACGGCGAGGAGCACGAAATCCGACGCCTCCTTGCACCGGGATCTAGCACTTCCTAATGGGGATGAGGTGCAAATAGTGCCGGTGCTCGCATCTTAACAAGTTTGTCTGCACAAGGCATCTGGTCGGTGTAGGGTGAGGCGAATAACCATCAGTTAACCAAAAGTAAACTTATTAAAAAAAAAAAAAAAAAAAAAAATTAAAAAAAAAAAAAAAAAAAAAAAAAAAAAAAAAAAAAACCATTGGCATGCCAACGCGTAAACTATTGGTAAAACAGTGTTTGCTAATGAAAGTATATCAGAGCGATTCTAATAAATATATATGAGAAATAATATTTTTTTTAATAAATTAGAAAAATGCTAACATTGCTCTCTTTTATTACTCTTTGTATTAATTACTGTTTGACACGCAGACTTCTCTATATCATTTTTAGTTTAAATAATAACATATCATGTTAATTGAGTAAATATGTCAAATAGTGAATATAAAAAATGACAAAGACTGATGCTAGCATTTCTCATAAAATAGATGGTTATGTTTTTCTTACCTTCTCGCTCTTTGACATTTTTCTCTTTATCTTTTCTCTCTCCTCTCTCTCTTTCTCTAACCCTCTCTCACTCTCCTAATCCCACGTGACCATTAAATTGGAGTCCCACTATTGAGTTCACAACACAAGTATTAACCGATATACGGTGTGAACTTATGACGGCGAGGAGCACGAAATCCGACGCCTCCTTGCACCGGGATCTAGCACTTCCTAATGGGGATGAGGTGCAAATAGTGCCGGTGCTCGCATCTTAACAAGTTTGTCTGCACAAGGCATCTGGTCGGTGTAGGGTGAGGCGAATAACCATCAGTTAACCAAAAGTAAACTACTGGTATACTCAAAAGTAAATCAATATATATGTAAAAAAAAAAAAAAAACCATTGGCATGCCAACGCGTAAACTATTGGTAAAACAGTGTTTGCTAATGAAAGTATATCAGAGCGATTCTAATAAATATATCTGAGAAATAATATTTTTTTTAATAAATTAGAAAAATGTTAACATTGCTCTCTTTTATTACTCTCTGTATTAATTACTGTTTGACACGCAGACTTCTCTATATCATTTTTAGTTTAAATAATAACATATCATGTTAATAGAGTAAATATGTCAAATAGTGAATATAAAAAATGAAAAAGACTGATGCTAGCATTTCTCATAAAATAGATGGTTATGTTTTTCTTAACACAACATAAAATATGGAGTATTCATATTAATCTATCACCAATCTTTTATAGGTGGCCATGGAT